CCGGCCTGTGATGACAACCATCTGCGACCTCCCCGAAGATGTCCTGGTGGAGCTGCTTTCGCTGCTCCCAGCCCGGCACCTGATCTGCACCTGCAGGCTGGTCTGCACGCAGTGGCGGTACGTGGTGGATCTGACCACCCTATGGAAACGCAAGTGCCAGCGTGAGGGGTTTTACATTCAGAATTTGGACAGAAGCATCTCTGACTGGAAGATCTTCTATATGCTCTGCAGCCTGAAGAGAAACTTAATCAAAAACCCCTGTGCTGAAGGTTTGTTTAACTTATTCCTACTAGAGAGCTAAGAGTTTCCAAAGAGTCAGAATGAGTCAGTGTCCTGCATTACTCACGTACTGCTGGTGGTGTGGGACTGCCCAGCTACTGACTGGGTCAGATCCACAAGTAAACATCTGCAATAAAACTACCATGGGTAGATGACGTACTGGTAAATACTTACCTGTGGCTGCGACCAGAAATACCTCTGGAGTCACTAAGGCACTAAGATAGTGGTGGTGAACTTGCACAGCAAGTACCGTATGGTAATGAAACTATCAGGTATTGGGATTAAACATTCAGGCAGCTGGGGAATTTTTGTTGTCGATGACTTGATTAATATGACTACAGTAAGTTACTTTGTTACTGATTCTGAGATTCTGATGCCGTCAGAAAGTTGCTACCTATTGTCCTAGCTGCTGACACCCACGTTAAAAGTAATTGCAACATAAAGACCGGAGTCACTGTCAGCTGTAGGAAGAAGACATTGTATCTGAAAACTCATCAAAGTAGGCTTCTTCTGTAGCTGATTCTTTAACAAAAGCAGAGATGATGCTGGGAACTCAAGCGAGGGCCTAACACTCATCTTTAATATCTATTTTTTAGAGAACTTTCAGCACTGGAAGCTTGATAAAAATGAGGGAGATAAATGGAAGATTGAGAATCTGCCTGGACCTCATGGAAAAGGGATGCTGGACCCCAAAGTACACAAATACTTTGTCACTTCATATGGGTAAGAACTGGATTCCAGCAACCTGGAGCTGGGAAGCCTGCTTCCTCCTGTCTGTCTGCAAAGGCACTAGGGTTGGGCGGCTAAGGGAGAAGGAAGTGCATGTGGGAGAAAGAAGGCGCTTAATTAACCTTTTATACTAGTTAGTCTAAAGAGACAGGTGTACTGCTGAAAGAATGAATTGCAGGTTGTGCCAAATTTCTGTACCTAACAGGAATTTCCTGTAACTTTTTTATAGTCATGATAATTCATGTGGTATCTCTGCTTCTCTTCTACCAAAGGTAGGGGGCAAGGGTTGAGGCTTAGCAAGCTAACCAGGTGCACTTACCTGACAAGCTCAAAGCTCTGTATCCTCTGAGAGTGGTAGGTGTGTTTGTCGTGCTAACAGCTTGCAATAAAACCTGCCAACAGAGGAGGATTAGCTGCTTTTACATCCATTAAGCAGTAGTTTTCTGCTACCCGTATATGCTATACAATCACAGGGATCCCTCTTAATCCACCTTTATAGGTAACTAGCCCTTTTATCTGGGAGTGAAGCTGAACAGTTCACTTCCTTGTCCTGTTCTGGCTATGGAAACAGGCACATCCCAGCCATGTCAGCCCTGAGGGCCTTCAAGGCCTGGGTGGGCTTTTGGTGAGAGTAAAGCTGTCGGGGAAAGTGTGGACACTGAGAGGGAAGAGATGCATTGTTGTGAAAATGGAAATATTTCTATTGCTGTTGCAGGCCGTGCTTCAAGTCTCAACTCATTACCCTGAAGAAAGAAGGATACTGGAATCAGTTGATGGATGAGAAACGGCCTGAAATTGTAGTCAAGGACTGGTAAGTGGATGCACTGAAAGCTGGAATTTCTGGTGTTGGCCTAGAGATAAGCTAGGCCTCTGAAGCTTTTCATGCTATAAAATTAGTTCTTAATCCTTTGGGAGTTATAGCTCTTGAGTAAAAAATAAGCTAAATCTGAGTTTGTTCAGTGGGCTGTAAGGAGATGGCAGTCCTGTGAAGAGTAGGACAGCTGGAAGTTTGAGAGCTTCTTCACAGCTGTGGGGATGACGTTCCTTTTCCTCTGTGGATGGAGATCCCCTTGGAGACTGTTTTTGGACACTGAAGAAAACTGAGTGCTGTACGTACAACCCTGCTCTCTGATTACTCCCTGCCTCTCTAGGTACGCGGCCAGATTTGACTGTGGATGTCGCTACGAACTTACCGTGAGGCTGCTCTCTGAAGACTACATTGTCCTTGAGGAGTTCCACCCCGAGCCAGTGGTTATAGAGCAGTGGAACGATGCGGTGTGGCAAGAGGTAAGCAGCAGCCCTGGGGGCAGTAGCTTTACATCAGTATTGTGGTGCTTGAATCTTGCAAGTCTTACCTGGCCAAAAGTCCCAAGTGGGGACCTACCTCCTCTGCTCTTCATTCAGCCTCCTCTACTCAATGCAAAAGGTTAAGTGAGCCCTTGCGGTTGGCAGTGTCGAAGCAGCAGTGAGTGCCGTGCAAAAGCCAGGTTTGCTTTGCAGGTGCCCAGGGTTTTCTAAAGACTGAGCATCCCCCGGGCTTCTGGGTTATTTTAGCTCAGTCTCCTTAATCGTTTTGGGTTTTCACTTAAGATTTTGTCTAAATAGCTAAGTTACAAGAGCACAGTTCTTGGTTTTATTGTATCAAAAAGCTTTGTTTTAAAATGTCTGCATGGATGTCATTTAAAGTGTTCCAGATGTTACTTTTCTTAAACTGCTAAACATGTTGAACTGGTTTGATTGGCTGTAGATCCCCATTTCAGGGCAGCAGGCTGAATGAGGGAGGCTTTTTATCCTGTCCCTCAAAAAGGGGGTATGATGCACTTTCAATACAAGGTAGGTTAGAATGAGCTTTTCCTGAGACCAAGACTTGCATACTGTAGCTGTCCTAGCTTCTAGGTCAGTGCTGGTTTATTTAGGCAAATTAAGAAGAATTTTCTTCTTTCTCTCCAGATTTCTCACACCTTCCAGAATTACCCAGCTGGAGTTCGTTACATCTGGTTTCAGCACGGAGGCCAAGACACCCAGTTCTGGGCAGGATGGTATGGGATCCGAGTGACAAACACCAGCATCACCATTGGGCCCCTGACGTTGTTATGAAGGCACAATACAGGTGTTTGCTTTAAACTCAGGGCTGTAACCAGGTGGTCTCAGGTGTACTTATTGGTCTGTACTCTCTGGCTGAGTGTCCTGGCTTTGTCTTGCACAGTTGATCTCCAACACCAGCAGCTAGTTCTCCTTGTTCACAGAACTTCTGCAGGCCCAGCCCTTTGGAAGGATTTCTGTCTTCATCTTTCATCCCCCCGTACCACTGCTGTTACTGCTGCCCTTCCACCGGAGGAAGACTAGGGCAATTAAATATGACATCTGTCTTTTCTAGTTAATACATCTTTGTGCTACAGCCAAACACTAGGCCTTAAATAGGAACCATTTCTTGTTTGTTTATGGAACTTATGAAAGATAGGGCTAAAATGTTTCATTTCAGATTACTGATGCTGTCCTCAAGGGCTCTGCTACAGAGAGACTTGTTTTGTACGGTATTTTCCCGTTTCAGTTTAATTATGTATAAAAACATGTATCTTTCACATCAGACCTTTCATAGCATAAGAAAACTGTCAACCCTTTTTCATAAATGCTGTGTCACTGGTACACTATTCCTCACCGTTTCTGTAAGTGTGTGTCACTGGTACACTATTCCTCACCGTTTCTGTAAGTGTATATGATCAAAATGGTACGTACCTTCCCGTCCAAATACAGCCCCTCACTATTCGAATAAACAGCTGGAGGAAGTAGGAGATAAGGAATCCCTTAAGGTGGCTACCTTGCACTGTAAGTGCCTTTTGATTGTGCTGGGCTTTTTCCATGCTACCTTTGTACTACCAAAGTACTTCATTTCTACTGAACGGTCTAACCCTATATAAAACGTTAAAGCAGCGCACAACCTGGATTGATAGTTTTCTTGCACATTTTACTTGGAGTAAGCAGGGAGGTGCTATACTGGCTCTCTTATCAAATTATCTGACCAAGAAGCTCAGCTCAAATGCTGTGAACCAGATCCTCTACCCCTGTAGGCGCAGAGCCAATACTAAGGCCTTCTTCCATCTCCTTTGATAGGTGTAGGGCAACACTGTTAATCCCTTGTCTGTTCTCCGTTGGGAGTAGGACATTTGGCACATGTCCTTGCTAGACAGACAAAATCCACCTTGCTAATGCCACTCATGGGTGAAAGGGGAGAGACCAAGGTCCTATAGCCTCTCACAGGAATTGACGGGTCCCACATATGTTCCAGAAAAGGTGTGGAAAGGTGATGGAAGCTCCACATAAAATACAAAGCTCCATACAAAATACAAATACTTCCTTACTCCCGGGGGGAGGCTGGTTTGGACAGAACTCAGCCTAGTTCAACTGGGGTAAAACTTGGTATTTATTGAAGACTACTTGGGACAGTCACAGTGGACAGACACTACATAAGGCCTCGCTCACCTTTAGTATGAGTCCATTGCTCTAGTGGAGCGCGTACAAAAGATCGCTGTGTATCACTACCAGCGCGCAATGGCGATGCCCCGTTAAGGTGAGAACTGGATTTGTACAAAAGCGCTGACTGCACGCTGCAGTTGGCCAGGTCCTGCCCCTGCGGATTCACTGTTAACAAAACCTGTACTCACTCTTGCGCGTGAGTGTGCACGGGAACAGGCTCTGGCTCCACATTCCAAGTCAGTCCTATATACAGTGGTAAGAGCACTTGAAATAAAGAGGCAGCAGCTGCTCTACATTCACCCAGAAGGCCAGCTGAAGAGACTGTTATCAAGGTATGGTCTGTGAGATCTCTTATTCCACTGGAAGATCAGATGAGGCTTGAAGGCAAGGAAGATTTGAAATCAGGTGCCTTTGTGGGCTCGTTCTTCTACATAGAGCTGCATCTGGAGGAGAGAAACAAGGATCAGTTCTGTTTGATGTGCAGGTAGGTGAATGGGAAAAAAGTCCGCAACAGGCTAGACAGAGAGATTTTGTACCTTCCCCCATAACCAGGTTTCCTAATTTATCATGAGGCCTCTTGCCCTGTTTTGGTTACTGGCACAGGCAGCTGCAAGGCTGAGCAATAATACTGCTCAGCAAAATTAAAACTGTTACCCTAGAGAAACTGCAGAGCCGGCATCAGATCAGATAAAGCTTAGAACTAATGCAGTTTCAGCCACCTCTTGGGCCAGAATCCTCCACTCACCTTTAAGATATCAGATGTCATAGTTTTCAGGGGAATAAGCCGGGGGTCGTGCATGTGCACATCTTGTTCATCGGCAAGGATCCATGGGAAATCCTAGGGCAGGAACACAAGGTGCTTTATTTGCAGGGAGGCTGGCAGACTCTGTAAGGCAAGCTCTTTTTCTCAGCATTAGGTCAGCATTAAATGAATGAGAGACCAAGTGGCTGAGGGAAGAAACAGGTAACTCAAGCGTTTCATAACAACAAATCTTAACGCTTGCACACTTGGCTCTGAGACTCAGCGTAATTATCTTCAAATACCACATCAAACTGTAATGTTAACCTGTTTTCCTTATTCCAAAGGTGACATCTCACCTCTTTAAGAGACAAACTCATAGCTGCAACTCCAAAATGCTCAGGGCATAGATTTCTGTCCTGCCTTGCAAGTTTAAAGGCTGGCCTACTATGCTACCAGTTTCCATTACTAAGCAATACAGAGCAGACTTCTATTTTGAAACAATTTTACACTTCACTGGCTTTATTTATTGTGCCTTAGGACACCCAAAATAACTTGGCTCAGGGAAAAGAGTTTCCCTGTACCTAAGCAAGGATTCTTAAAATGGTACTTTAAAAAGTGATCTACACACACCTTCCTGCAAGATAAAAACGTATTTGTGCACCCAAACCCCACTAGTTACTTGAATTCTATGTATAAAGTCATCCACACCCAGTGGATGTGGGGTGAGAGGAGGGTTTGGTTTTTATTTTTTTGTTACTTAAATTCAAGTACCTATTCTATATGTCAGAATACTTTTAAGTGACTGAGCAGGCATTCTGCAGTAAGCATTGTTGCAATCTAATTCGGGCACCGAAGCAGCCTTTGTCTGCAGTTGTGGCTGGTGTGTGATAAATGTGCTCAGGCACCTCACCAGTGTAAACCATTTTAACACATTCAAAACCAAGTTGTGAAGTGCATCACATAAAGCTAACATACGTGTTCACAATATCTAGCAGCCTTAACCTTAGAGATGCCAAAAGTCTTTAATGTCCAGTCTTTGTGAGCAACCTGCAGAGCAATCAGGTAGCCAAAGTTATCACTCACCTTTATCACCTGGATCTTTTCCATGTTCCGTGTGGCAGCCTCCCGTGTGTGAACCAGGACTGTGAAAGTGCAACCTGTAAGAGAAATGGTAGGTTCCAGATGAGGGGACAACTACCAGATGCTACCTGCTGTTGTCTCAAGTCAAGCAATGCCATGCAGTTGGGCTGTATGGACGTGTTTACCTGGGGGATTGTTGTCGAGCACAGCATCGCACACGCTGATCTTCAGGATGAAGGCACGCAGTAACTGCTCCACGTGGGACAGCAGGGACTCAGAACTGTTGAGGAGAGAGCAGTTGTTACTGGCATGCAGCAAAGCACTGGGGCCTGGAGCTGCTTCCAGAACGCCTCTGCAGGGGCAGGTGTGGGATGCTGTGGGCAAGCAGTAATGGAAACTTTACCTAATGGAAAGAAGAGGTGGCTGGGTGATCTCAAAGACAAATCGCTCCACAGGGTGGTGCTCTTTATCCAGGATTACAACTACAACTTTCTCCACATCATTCTGCAAGAACAAAGATATAAAAATCTCGTCCTTAAAACAAGCTGTCTTCCACCCCCAGTGTGCTTCACGTACTTCTGATAAAGTGGGAGTATGCTTATTTGTTGGGGCTCACAGCACTAGCGGTTATCCAAAGCTTGAGCACTGTCAGATTATTCCTACTGATCAGAAAAAAATGCATTTGCAAAGCCCTTTCTTGCTAGATGTTAAACTGATAGCTTATCGCTACAGCCTTGGGAGATGAAGTGCACTAAAAATAGTATGTTTCTCTAGATACCGTTTTGGAACAAAGGAGGCAATGTACAGCCACCTCATGGCATCACTTGGGAACGGACGATGATGGGCAAGTTGAGCTATGCTTAGACTGTTGGCCAAATATAGCAACTTTGTCGTACCGTGATGTAAAACTGACCTATTTCCAGTCTCTAAATGTGCATCAAGGTTGCGAGCAGAGAATGCAAAATCTGCCAGCGTCCTACACCCTGAAATGTTTCCTATGGTCACACCTTTCTCTCACAAAACCTGGAGTTCAACCCTACCTCGGCTTGCTGGCTTACAGCAAAGCATTCCAACTATTCTGCCAGATAAGTGCTTAAACTTAAAGGTATTCAAAAGCAGACCATTAACATGTAGGATAATGTAACTGAAAATACACATATGTATAACTGCATGGGCATGTATTAGATGCACCTAAATGCCAATAATCAGCAGCAAGGCGGGGCCTTAACTGCAAGGAAAGGTTATGGATGTTATTTTTATTTTTCTTAGTAACTGTACCAGCTGGGATAGTGTATATGGTAAATTTGTAAATAACTTTTGCAATGAAGACAGCATTTATGTTCTCTTACTTTCTATCAAAACCACTTGCAGTACTTCTGCCCAGGTCCCAGATATGCTCTTACCTTCTCGAGCAGTGGCTTTACGCAGTGCAGCGTGTCCTGGATGTACTGATTCAGCTCCGGGTGGCAGGACATCTGTAGCAAATACAGCGAACAGTCAGAGCTGCGTTCTGATGTGAACCAGGACAACGCTAAAGGGGAAGATGTTACAAGGCACTCGAGTCATGCTTCAAATTGAATTTTTCACTACTAAGTTGCCAATTCAAACCAGTAATTCTTTTGTGGAAGGGTTAATTGGCTGAGGCAGATCACTGTACCCACAGAGGTGGAATACTGGGAATATATACCCACAATAGCATAAGGGGAATAGTATACTCCAACCCTCTCTACTTCCTAGGAAGCATGCTTTCATGTTACCTTACTGCACATAGCTGGGGAAGCCTTCTACTACTGTTGTCCATGATCTGCTTGTTCCATGAGTACTGCTGTATCCTCAGCTACAGGGCTGTTTTCCCTTTCGACAGGAACTAAGTTCTCTTAAAAAATGAGTTTGCACATTAAAACAAACTCTGGAAGTGATTTAGTTTGTTCTGGTGAGTGTTGACTGATCCCTGCTATTTTTGCTTGTCCACGTGGCTGTCAGCTTCCAGGAAAATCTCCTACCTGGACAGGTACATTGTATTTTTTCCTCTTCTGAAAGATCCCAATAGGGTAAACTTCTCTGACATACAAGATAAGGTGAACAGCCACTTCCAGAAATTCTGAAAGAACATCTGCAACAACTGGAAAACAAAAGTAAAAGGATGTTGAAATAGTGAGGGGGGGAGCATGCAGAGCAACACCATATACTCATAGGAATTTTTTTTAAGGTATTTTTTCCCTGCATAAATTTTAGCTGCTTCCCCTTAAGCTGCAGAACATCTAAGGACAGAGCAACCCTCCAACGAATCCACAAGCTCATGTGCCAACAAGAAGCCTTGCAAGCATAGCAGTTTGCAGCGTAGCACAACACACTACCTTGCCCAAAGTTAAGGTCCTGCCGTGTGAGAGTGGTCATCTTTCCCAGAACCTGGAAGTAATCACAAAAAGAATGTTTATCCTCTAGCTCCTATGTTATTAATACAGTCAGCTCATGGAGTCATCCACTCCCCTAGTGCCGCTGAGCCCAGACCCAACAAACTGCCCTCTCCGCTTAGGCACAAGCAGCTGAACACTGCCACAAATCCACAGGGCCCACTGTGAAAGGTTTAAGCCCCCTCCATAACAAACAGCAGCGTCAGTGACAGTGTCATCACTGCGTTCTGGCTCACGCCTCAGCTTGATAGATTGCTCACAGTTTAATTCCTGCTTTTTTTTTTTTTTTTAAATTGGGTTTTATTTACAAAAAAAAGTGAAAAATCTGTCCTGCTCACAGTTCTTCACTGTCTCCTTTCATTTTTTTGCTGTACTTTGCTAGGACAGGAGAATTCATGATTCTTAAGACACAGGGAAGTTTAGACAATCACTTTTTAGTAGCACAATGAACACTTTTTTTTAAAGCCACACAAATGTTCTCATTGCATACTCCTTTTCTAACCCCTGTATCCTATTATAACACAAGAACATCTCAGTTTGATGGGTTTATTCTCACACCGCCACAAAACGTCGCTTGTTCAGGCTAGGATCTGCATCTTCCGTTGACACTACACAACACAGGTTCTCATCTGCTGTCCACTACCAGCAGCCTCAGAGTCTCTAGTCCCAAGGAAGCCAAACCCTGCACAGCTGCATAATTAAGATAACATGGAATTTGTCACATGGAATCATAGAGTCATGGAATATATCAAGCTGGAAGGGACCCAGAAGGATCATGGAGCCCTGCTCCTCGCAGGACTACCTAAAACTAAACCATATGACTCAGAGCATCATCCAAATGCTCCTCGAAATCTGACAGGCTTGGAGCTGTGACCACTTCCCTGGGGGGCCTGAAATTTGTGACAATGATAAAAGGCAGCACATTAGATAGCCAAATTAATACCACGTGCCAACAATCAAGCAGCAGATCTGGGGCTCAACTTTCCACCAGCTTTCCTTATACAGGGGAGTACGTGCCTTACATGTTTTAAGCCAGAGCGTACATAATTTTCTATTACAAATTTTGTTTCATTATTTTATCCATACTCTTTCCATGCATGCAAACTCTAACCACTAATAGCAGCACTGTTTTTCATAAACTGTGTCTTTAAATGCCTGCAGGGGCACTGTGGCTCCACCAGTAACACAGGTGTCTCACAGGCCTCCGGTAATCCACAGACATTCCACTCAGTTGCTTAGCTGCTCATTTTCAAGCTGCTCCAGCTGCAACAAATGATGTTTTTCAGACCTATGAAGAATTACTTTGACCTCCACAAAACAGGAAGCTATTCTCCTCTCCCTTTTTAGATCAGAACCTTACCATTGCACACAAAGACTCCCTGGAATATTAGTGATCTGCTACAATAAATAGAATTAAGATACTTAAGCATCACTCTAGCACCCCAGCTGCAGCGACTCTCAAATTTGTACAAAAGATCTGTAGCAGAGTGGCATAAAGAATCTGGGGTTTTAGAGGTTTAGGTTCACATCCTCACCTAAACATCCCCCCTTCTTCAACTGAGGCCCCAGGGAGGTAACAGCATCCCAAGACCCACCCTCAAACACAGTCACAAGGTTAGGCCTAGGAACCACACATTTAATACTCCCTCAGCTTAAGGTTTTGAAGTAATAATTGGAGCAATGCTGCAGTTAATAGCCTTTCATCTAATCACTTGAATTTGCTGCCCTGTATGTATGAGGTCAGTTCCCAGAACATTCCCAGTGTAACAGACAACACTGAGGGGTGGGCTAGGGGAAGCCTGGAGTAGCATCAGGGAAAAGAAAGCCTGCACTTCTTTCGTGGTGCTTTTTGGAAGCTAGCAAACCCTTACTGCAGAAATTTCAGAAGAAAAGGGAAGCAAAGGAGGCAGGGATGTCATGTAATTCGTAATCCACCATCTTCAAAGTGCCCGTGTCTATTACCCGGGCTCCCACGCCAGCTCAGAACAACGAGCACAGGCCTCCCGCCTCAGCTTGCGCTGCGCCCTGCCCGCTCCCTGGTTCGGAGACCGGAGAATCGCCAAACGCTCCCTCCCGTTCCGCACCCCGCCCATCTCCACCGCCTGGGCCGACAGGCCACAGCTTTCGGGAGAGGGACGGGTACCCCAGGGCGCCCCGCTCCCCCCCGGACAGACATTGCCTTGACTTCGGTACTCCTGCCCGTGCTTCCGAGCCCCCGCTACCAGGCGCTCCGCGCTGCTCCGCTCCCTTCCTAAACGGGG